TGATTTTTGAAACGAGTCTGTAAAATAATTCATTAGGCTAATTAGAATAAATTAGAATATTAAGTTCTCCAACAAGAATTTTATAGACATTAAAATTTTATCGATTTATCCAATGAATGTCGATGTATAAGGAAAATAATGAATAGAAAATAAATAATATATTAATTAAACATAATTTCAGATTAGAAACAATTTTCAGTCTATAAAACTAAGTTTCAGATTATAGAGGGGAATTCCAAAATATGGGAATAAACTTCAGGTGGCGATTCCTGCCGAAATAAAAAACAAAAACACTCCTATAAATATTTATCTAGAAATGCATAGTTAACACAATAAAGGATTTCTTTATGCTGCATAAATTTACAGAACAGTACATTACATCTATATTATATTAATATTATACATACACTCCGGTTAAGAGGTTCAAAGTAAGTTATTTTTAGTACATTTTATCTGTCTGTCCAGTCACAGATGCTTGAAGTGTCTCTAACGAGCCTCTATACAAGCATGTACATGTCTCGTGGACTGATGCACCCTTTTCAAATGCTTGTATCTGAACAGCATTACAGATGGCATTCACACATTCTACAACAACTATGTGAATACCGCCTTTATGTGTGTTAAGTATGCATTTCTTGTTTTGGTAGGAATCACCATTGAAAGTTTGTCCCCATATTTTGGAAACACCCTAAAAATTCACTATTTCCATGATCATGAATTCCTATATGTAAACATTTTTAATCTATATATCAATGTATTTTTATCCTTACTATGAATTTTGCAATTATATTATTTTAAAAATTCAATAATAATTGCCTTTTAGAAGAATGCATTTAATTTTAGCAACTATCCTCAATTAAAATAGAAACAATTAGGCAAGGCAAGTTTTATTAACTTGTGTAATTTTCAAAAGCTAAATAAAAAAGGGCTAAATTTGCACAAATGTTCTTCACAGTAATTTAAAATATGATTTAGAGAATCAAAAATTACTGTAATTTCTTTCTTTTAAGTTTGTTACATCTAATAATCTGTCACAATAATTTAAATAATGAAATTGATAATAACTGTTATGATTATATTACCACATAATTTACAGTGAAGGAACACTTTTAAAGTGACATATAATATCACAATTACACAGTTTTTAAAGAATTTTATTTAAATGTCTAAACATGATAACTTTATAAATTAAAACAGTGATCATAAAATCTAAATAATTGAATTCATTAAAGAACTTAAATGGAAGTTGACTTAGAATATCATCCATAACTTTTGAGTTTCTGAAACTTGTATATATGGCTAATGAATAATAAACTAAATACTGATATTTCTGTTTTCTCTATTTCTAGTATTTAAATTAAACATGAAAATAGAGGAAAATTTCATTTCAAATAATCAAATAAACTCTCAGAATGTTTGCAAAATCACTGGAATATTTTTTATTAGTAATTTAGCAACTTTCTGAAAAAAGCAAATAAATTATCTTACAGTTTTGATTATGATTTACCATTTTTAATAAGTGATTAAGCTACTACTGTTGTTATATATTTATATGTAATGTTTCCAAATTAAGATATTAGAAACAATTTTTTGTTCAGATTTTTCCAAAATATAAATTATTCAATGATCCAAAATACACAATACATTCTTGTATTTAAATTATATTATAAACCTGTAATTGTAAAGAATATTAGTGTTAGTCCAAAACTACTAATTACTCTTCAAAACTGAACGTTCTTGAAAATAAATTTCAAATAGATGCCAATTTATTTTTGAATAATTTTAATGAGTCAAAATTTAGAAGAAAAGTTAACATGATACTTAATAATCTTACCATAATGCATTGGGCTATTTTTTCACTAATATTAATAATTAACTTTTTATTAAGTAATTTAAAAGTTAATTATTAACAGTAGCGGAAAAATAGCTGAATGCATGACAGCAATCATTTGGCATTGGTTAATAATGTCTGGTTTTGAGGGACTTACATAATCTTAAATTTTATAAAGACATAATATTCATACCTTAAACAACAATATGCATTAATCGCTTACTATTAATGCATACTAGCAGATTTTATTTCTGATTAAATGTCTTAAAAATGTAAATTTATTTTTCTATAATAAAATATAAAATTTTATTAAACAGACTGTGAGAATTTATCCAAAATGAGCATATATTATTTCAAACATGTACAAAAGAAATAAACTGTCTGAAGAAAGCCAAACAAAAGTTGGTAACATTATTTGTAAAAGACATTCTGCAATATTTATAAATTTAGAAATTAAATTGAGTGAGGTTTTATAAACAATTGATTTATTGACATTTTTACATAAACACACAGATGGTTTTAGAAAATGAGACTTTAACACACCAAATAAAACCTCACATGAATCAATGTCATCTTACTGGCTAATCTGCCATTTAAAAATACCTGCATTGTTAAATATGAAAGAAAGAAAATCTACAAATATAAACATTTCAAAGACCAATATATCCAAATAAATGCCAAATTAAATTGGGCTCTATTAATATTAGTATTTAATTATTAATAGTAGCAATAATATATCCCAACTTAATCCAGCAATCATTGGCTTCAAAGGAAAATCTACAAGATAAAAAGATGATTTTTTCCCTCGGTGTTCTTATATTCTACTTCAATAGAACGTTAGAAAACTAATCATTTAGACATAATATCAAGAATGTTTATACTAAAGAAAGAGCAATTATTTATTGTGGCATCGTCACAATGCCGAACTGCAATTTTTAATCATATTTTTAATTTAACTTAAAATACTTGCCCTCCATCTCAAATTAGTAGTGGCTTGTCCCTGTAATCATACTTTTCCTTTAACAATAGTCATGCCAGTCATCTATCTAACACCTTTCAGGAGAAAATTTTTGAATTGAAATAACACGACTTTCAATTTGCATTGAAAATTTGTATATAGTTAATTGGGGCCTCCTGCCCTAAGGTTTCCATATCTGGTCTCATTTTTCATCTATCTAACTCCATTCTCAAGATTAAGGAAACACAAACAAACACACATGACAGTGGAAATTTATAGGTCTACAACTTTTTCAAACTGCAGTTGAATCTTGTATAAAAAAAGAGATTTAACAATAATTATTTGTTAAAAACACACTGATATATTGTAGTCTGTATTTTCTAGTGTAAAAGTGCATTGAAATAATTTCATATATTTTGAATTCTCAATTTTTCAATTATTTTTTTATGGATAAATCTAGGAATAAAGAATTGAATAGTCATTTTGACATTAATTTAGAACATATGAGGTAATTATGTTATAACCAGTGTGTACTCTCAATCCAAATTAATTTTCATATTAAGTTGCTTAGATAAGTGGTTCTCAACCTTTTATGTCTCACTGCCCACCTCAGAGGCTCCCTCAACTGGGAAGTTACATTTCTACTGAATGGTAAGCAAAGATTGAAGTAATAACTAGAACTAAAATATATTGACTTGAAAGAAAGATTAAAAATGTTTAAGTATGGTTTTCCTAAGGAAAATTCCTTCATTTATAAATTGTGATTTTTTTTAATTTATGAATTAACTGTGCAATTCTTTCCTACTTTAAAACACCAAAAAATTATTATTATACGTTAGGTAATGTTTAAAAAAATATATATATTTTTACCAAGACCTTTAGTGTCAGGCTTGCAGCTGATGAGAAGAAACAAGTTTTTGTATACTGGCTGGAAACTTGTTAGGTATAACCAAAGATCTTCCCATTTTCAATATCAGATGACTGACTACTAAAACTCAATTCAACCAAATTGGAATTTTAAAAACCTATAAAGGAATTTTTTTTTTCAATATCTACACTAGTCTAGAAATTGTCTTGGTTGTTCCTGAATCTGATTGAAGTGCTGAATTACTTTTCAGATCCACAAGACATTCTTGTAGTTCTAGATTCATATTAGCTGCATTTACTCCAAATGAATCCACCACACATTCAAAGACTTCCATGTCTAGTAATATCTGAACTTTAGTTTCATTTCATCATCTAAATTTTATTTTCCCAAATATGTTTTTTCATCATTAGATTTTCAATTAGGACTTCTGTAACATGACACTTAGAGTTAATTTGTACAGAATATAAACTTTAATATTCTACTTTGTGAATTATTATGTGGCCTCCCTGAAATAATCCATGGCCCTGTTGAGAACCACTAGTTTTGATAATTTGATTTTTCACTAATCTGTGTTTTATGAAAAGAATAAAAAATAAATACTGTAGATAAAAACAAGTATTGTAAAAATTATATTAAAATGTGTAGTACATATTATATTGACTTCTTAAAAATATAACAAACAGAAATCACTCAGAAACGTGTTTCCATACTAAACGTTCCAGGTAAAAATCAAATAAAATTAGTGCACTATATTATAAAGTTGTCAAAACAACCATAACTATCAACAAATATAACAAAATAAAATTTTGACAGCCTCCATGGTGAAGAAGCCTAAAGTGTAGCGTCTGCTGACAATTTATGCAAGAAAGACACTCACTTTACCATCATCCAATATTTATATTCATTTGTGACTTATTTAACATGTATAAAATCTATACTTCTGAATTTAGATTTTTCTTCGTAATGATTTTTTACCTACACTTTGCCTACTTACTTTCTGTAATAAAATACAAGAATTTACCTCTCACATAAATTGTATCTACAATCACAATAATTGGGAATAAAAATAAAAACATTTATAAGCCTGAGAATTTTAAATGGATTATTCATTTTTAATATAAAGTATTAATTATAAATTATTTTCTGTAGTATATCTGATGAAGTGTTAAATGTAAATTTGTTGTCTCTGAATTTCAGTTGATTTTTTTTATATATTTAAAATATTAATTTTCCTGATAGAGATAAAATTCAACACTTAACTGAATGGAAGTCAAAATAATTATAATAAAACATTAATATTAAAATTATTAAAATTCCAGTTATTATAAAAAAAAAATACTTGCTTGTATTGAAGTTAAAATGGCTGAAACATCATACGTTGGGCTCCACCTATTCTGAAGAATATCAAGGCAAATGCTTCCATCAGCATATACTAAAAATAAAATAATATAAATTACTACTGATTATACATGTTATTACTATTAAAGATTTAATAGTAAATCTTAATGACACAAAGGCAATTAAATAAAGGAATTTGAAAAACTTACTTTTTCTCTTTATTAAATAATTTAAGAAAAGTATACAAACATTCATATCATTAAATAATCAATGAAAATAATAATGTCAAGTTGGAATATAACTCAATGTAAAGAATATTTATATGTACATAAAAACATAATGTTTTTATATTTCTTGTTAACTTAAAAATAATCAAACAGGCCTATACAAAAGTTCTAAATGAAATTACCATTTGTTGAATTTTTAATTATAAAATTTATAATACTATTGCTTTACAATTTTATAAATCAATAGTACAGGGTATTTCATAATGCTTCTCACAGTTAAAATAATCACTGCAAGAGAACTACTGAACTTTCCTCAATGAAGCCAGCATTAGATGGGCAGAAACTCAGTTGCTTTTTTTAAATTTGGCAACAATAGAACAAACATTTTATCTTTCATGCAACTCCACAAAAATAAATAAAACAACGTGAGATCTGGAATGGCTGTGGCCAAGATCACCTGACCTCAAACTGTATTTCTTTTTTGTGGAGTTGAATAAAAGATAAAGTGTTCATCCCATTGTTACCACACAATATCATCAAGCTAAAAGAGTGTTATCACAGCAGTGTCCATTATCAATGGGCCCATGTTGCAAAAGGTATGGCAAGAACTGGATTATTGTATTGATGTCTGCAGTGTCATCTATGATACACATATTGAGCATTTGTACGTGTTAAAAAACTGTTTAATTTTCTGCCCTATCCAGTGCTGATTTCATTGAGATAAGTTCAGTATTTCTCTTGCAGTGACATTTTTTTTTTAACTCTGTAAACATTATAAAAGCTTGTAAGCTTTATGTTTTTATATTTTTGTTACCTGTTTATTAATTTCAAATGTTCTGAAATTAATAATAAGATATGTTCTAGATCAGAGGTTGGCAACCTTTCAGCAGTGTTGTGCCAAACATAAGTAATAGTGCTATTCCGAGTGCCGACACAATTCTATTAAGTTTATTCTATATGTTATCAAAATTAGTCCGGTTATAACGGTCTTCAAAAATGCATAATTTTGAAGTTAAGTTGTTAATTAAATTATGTTTTACTTGTGAAGCACTTGCATAACACATAGATGGTGACACGGAACATAAATGCACGAGCTGTAACAGAAGTATACAAACAAGATTCGTTTTTAATGTACTATGACCTTTGGTGAACTATCACTTACATTTAATTGTGTAATTAATAATTAAATATAATTTTTACTACATTTCAACTCAATCAGAGTGCCACTGAAAATTGTCCCACGTACCATGTTTGGCATGCATGCCATAAGTTGCCGACCCCTGTCCTAGATCAATGAACATAAAAAATTTTCTTAAATATCCATTCATTTATTTTAATATAAAAACCAGACTCAATTATTTTCACTCTATTCTATCTCAAGATATTTACCAGTTTGTGATTATTAAATAAATAAAAGATAAATGTTCCACCTCCATTTTTTAAATCAAATATACATAAAATCTGCTTATAACAACAGAAATCCAGTATTTAATTACTGAAAAATATATTTGAGGTTTCTTCAATTCCTTAGCATTCAACAAAAATATTGTTTATAAAAAGAGCACAGAAACCTTGTGACATCATAACTCAAGAAACTCTAAGCAATCTTCACCATCAAACTTAATGTAACTTCTATTTCAATAGGCTCTCATAACAGCACGAGAAGGACACTTAAAGAGATATTATTATTATAATATAATTGATGGCAACAATTTAAAAAATAATGAAACATGCAACTTGACATATGATGGCTTGAACTGAATTCATTCATTAAATATTCCTCTGAAATAATTATTTAATTTTTCCACTTTCAGAGTGATTTACAATAATCATAGAAACATTAAAATTCTAATTTCAAATCTATTTTGCAAAAGAAATTACAGATTCTTGATCAAAGGTCTTCAACAGCAAGATGTAATTATATATTGAAGCAGAAACGAGAAAATCTCACTGACTATATATCAGTAATTCAAATTAATAACTAAGAGGAAGTGCCAGTTTAGTACATTTTAAATCATGCCATTCTATTTCTCATAAAAAAATTACATCTGTTAGACCCATTTTTGGCCTTGTAGATAGTTTCCCTTTAATTTCTAAAACAGACAGAAACACATTCAAGAAATATGTATATGTTTAGTAACATTTTTAGTCAACAATTTTATTGTTTAAACTAAAATTAGACAAACTTTTAATATGAATTATGTAAGTGAATAAGTACACCCACATAATACAGTTTATCTAAATTTACAGAATTAACAAAAGCTTACAATACAACCATTAAAAAATTTTAAAATTCCTGAATAGTTATATCTTGATATATAAACCTATAAAATAGAATAATATATATAATGCTACATTTCATACGTGCACAGTGTGTATATAGGCAGGAGTAATTACTCTAAAAATTTACACTTATAAGATATATAATTCTAAAATGAAGAATTGTTAAATCAAAAAATTATGTACAATAAGGATAACTATTAATATCTTAACAATACGCCAAAATCTTTTGTCCAGAAGATTTGTTAAAAGACACGTCAATGATTTCCTGCAGGAAAAAAAAGATGATTTTTAAACAAACTTAGAGTTGCATTTAAATAATACATGAATACAATATAATACAATACAATACAATACTTAAATACTTTGTAGATTTAAAAATTCATGAAATGTGATTTCATATTTAAAAAAAAGGAGGAAAATCTTCTAAAATTAAAAACAAACAAATTGCACAAAAATCATTCTGTATATTCGAATTAAGATTTGCATTTTATTTTTTATTATTATTTAGATAAAATTCATTAAATTATTATATTACAGATAATAACATAAAATAAAAGACATTTTAGTCAGAAGTTGTCATCAGTACATTTAAGAATTAGAATAAAATTAAGAGTTAAACATATTGCTTACAATTTAAAACACTAAGTTACTATTGCTCTTGCTCTAGATCAAAAATGCATTTCAGTTTTCAATATTTGAAATTATTAATGCCAGAATTTAGATGGTAAAAATAAAATAAGAATTAATAAAAATGAATGCGATTAACATAATACGTATATATCACACATTTGTTAAATTATCCTGAAATTTAACCACAATTATAAATCTTTACAGTCCATAATTATGAACAATATTTTTTGTAATAAAAATATACCAAATTATTATTTTAATCAGTCATAATCTGATTTAATATATTTAACTAAACTTTTTTATTTGTTTGGTTTACTTAATATGTTCTCCCATTATATTTTTTAAATCTTTCATATAACATTTACAATAAAAACAACTAGTAATATTTATTCCTTTCAATTAATGCTTCCAATTACTGTCACCTCACTTCCAAATAAAAACATACTAGTTTCAGTTACTTTCTTAGCATTTCTATTCTATGATCTATTTGAAGTTTTTGATTTAATTTAAGTATTCTTTTCATTTACTAAGCTTTAAACAGCCTATCTAATAAATGTTGTTGTTTACTAATACAAAACTTGAAGATATAATGTTATTTACTTACTTAGAAAATAATATTGTGAACTCAAATATTTAGTCATAAAATTAATATCAGCTTATTTTCAAACAATCTGTATGTTATAAGCCAAACAACTGCCATATTGAACTGGACTACTTTACCACTACTATTAAGAATTAAATTCTGAGTAATTTGGTACTAGAGGTAAGGCATTAGGCACCATCTCTTACTAAATTTAACAATTTGAATAACAATCAGTAAAATAGCCCTATTCAATGTGGCAATTGTTTGGTTTAACTGGTTTATTAAACATCGAATTTTGAGATGTTTATATCCTGTACACTGTTTCATTACTTTTGACACATGTAATTATACAGTCAAAGACAAAAATGCTATTATAATATTACAATACCAAATTATTAAAACCTCTATTTACGACTTTAATAATAATAATTATACAGTAAACTTTTTGACAATATCAAACTGCCTACTTTGGACTTTTTACTGCAATCAAAGTTCCAATTGAAAATCCTAAGATGAGATTGTAGTAAAAAGTCCAAAGATGACCATTCAAAATGGCCAAAAACATTTGCCGTATTGTTTACTTGTATTTTTAAGCTTGATTAATAGTTATTTGAAGTATGTAGTGTTAACCAGTTTGCCTTTTTTAAGTATATTAAAATATTACCAAAATGTGGAACTGTATTCATATAAATAATAAAATGGTTAAAGTTTGGATAATACTCTTTAATAAAATTAAACCTTAATGCACAAATAATATTAACCTAAAAGTTTCAAGCTAAGACTGAGAAAGTTTCAAATCTTACCTAGGATCAAATGCATTATTTTTGATAGGTCTTTTGTTCTTTGGATTGATACCTGATTTATATACTAATACATAATCTTTGGGTATTATTTATTTATCAATATAGAACTTTTTAAAACAGATATTAAATATAGAAGTCAGTCATTTGTTATGTAAACATTTTTGAACTTCATTGCACAAAATCAGCTATTTTCTAACAGAACAACTTCCAAACTGAATAAATTAAATTTTAAAAATAATTTACATTTTATGATTAATTTTTTACTTTTATGTTCTTAAATTTCACATATAATCAAATCTATGCTTTTGATTATATGCTATAAAATTAAATGCTAAACCAAGTTAAAAAAACCAATAAATTATTAATTATCTATTAACCTATAAATACATTTAATCGTCATCTAATGCATGTCAGATACACAATCTTTTGGAAATTTTCCAAAAATGATAATGTATTAAAATATCTTTATACAGTAGAGCGTCGTTTATCCAAATCAATTGGGGACTGGGGTTGTTCGGATAACTTATTTTTCGGATAACCAATTATGTACGAAAAAATATATTAATTTATCCCGTGTTGAAATTTTTCTCCGTTGCGTGTCGCTTCGCGTTGAATTTTCATCAATGTTAAGCCTAACGAAGACTATTGTATCGTTAAAAATTATTTTTTTATTTTGTACAAACAAAATAAATATATTGAAAAATATAAAAACAATAAAAAAATTATACTTCAGAAGTTAATTTAGTATCAAAAACGTAAAATATTTGAGTAGCCGAAGACATAGCCAAAGATTACAGCGCCACAGTACTGGCGAAAATTTAAATTTGTCGACTGGAATTCCTTCGGATAACCGACGTTTCGGATAAACGACGCTCTACTGTATTTTATTCTTTCTTCATACCTCAGGAAACAATAGAGCATACCTTTATCTGGAGCTTCCCATCCACCTCAATATGTAAAGTGACCAGTGCAGTCACCAAAGTCAGAGTTGTCCCTCTGACAGTGGCACAACTCTGACTCTGGTGATTGCACGTTATAACATATTACATTTTGAGGTAAATGAGAAACCTCCAAATAAAGGTTGATTCCACTGTAAGACCTATTTCTGAGATTGAAGAGAGGACAAAATGTAAACATTTTAACATATTGTCTTTTTTTTGTAACTTTTCTAAGCATGTGCTTATTTTCCTGGCCATTTGCATTTTATTGGCTGATTCATATACAAAATTGTCATCATCTTAATTTACATTAAAAAAAGGCTGTATTGAAATTTATTTTTTAAAATAATCTGCAAAATTTTAAAAGTAGAACTTTCTATTTATCATTATAAATATATCTTCAATTTAAATACATGCACTTAAACTTAAGCAAATAATATTAGAGAAGTAAAGACCTAAAAAGCACAAAGTTATAATAAAATTCTATTTTATTAGAAATTTATTTATATATTAATTAAATCAATAGACATTGATATAATTTTTTTGGTAAATAATTTGTAAAAGCTTTTAAACAATATTTTTACATTGCAGTTGATTCAGCAAATTCAGATAATGAATGTTTCACATATATTATTTGAATGTATTGTTTATTATTGTTAATTACATAGAAATTGAATAATTTATGGAAAAACAAACTGTAAATTCTGTTTAAAATTTAATTTGTTCCATTTTGAAGTTGTTTTCTTACAGAGCAACTGAGGAATTAAGAAATTCAAAAATATTTTTGATACAGTAACTATATTTTTGTATATAAATTTATTTAGCCCAATTAATTTTCATTACAATCACTGACAATTTAACAGATAAAATCAGAAGAAAATATCAAACTTTAATATACTTTTCCTTTAATATACACTTTAGTAACATCAAATAACTACTTCATTTGTAAATTTAAACATTAGCTAACAATTTTACACTGAACAGGTGCGTTTTCATCATTTTAGACTGAACAAAGTTTTCATCAACAAAATGGCAGCTAAATATTTCCGAAAATATTAAAACTGCAAGAAAATACATTTACAAAATAATCTTACAACTGACTGCTTAGTTAATTATACATAGAAAAATTAAAATATTAGTGTTAATGTTTTCAGCATACTCCATGCCAAAAGTAATAACATTAAAATTTTTTAAAGCAATATTTGTAATTGTAAACTTTGAAGTATAATTAAATATTTTTCTAAAATTCACTATTTAAGAAAATATTTCAAATCACTATGAAATTGTGATTTAACTTGACAAAGATAAAATGATATATAAGGAACTAATAAATTGTTTTAGTGTTTTTATACATAAAAATTCAATTCAGAAGGAAGACTCGTTATAAAAACTTATTGAATATGTAAAACTTTGATTACTTTTTGAACAAGAATGTTTGAATCATATATTACATTAGGAATTTGTCTAGAGTAAAAAAAAAACTGTTTAATTTAAAGGAAACTAATAAATATTTACAAACTGTTCAATTTAATCACATTCGTATAAATATAAATTCTTTAACATTTATTTGTCTTTTAAATAGTAGCAAGATTATTTTTTGGTACTTGCAGGTTATCCTCCTGTACACCATGTAGTGTGTTGCTTTCCATTCTTAAATATCTGTCATTCTCTGTCACATTGCTACAGTATAGTTTGAACAAATGGTCAAACAAAATAATTCTTTGATTTGTGCAAAATTTAGTTAAGTTTAATTTGTTTCAATAACATTTAAAAATATTTTTTTCATTTACAAAGTCAGAATAATTCATTTTTAAGAAATCAAACATATGCAGTGTTTAATATCACAAGCTAATACACAAATTAGTCTTCAGTTTGAGAATGTGTGAGAATGGGACAGTTTGTGGAGAATGGATTATTCATTCAAATTTGTCTCTCTCTGAAACTGATGGTTCATATTCCACAGAATGGTATTTTACATTTTGAAAGCTTTCACAAAAAATATATTAAAATTAAGTTATATTTAGAGCAAAAAAATCCAAAATATGCATGTAACTAAACAAATGTAGAAGAGATGTTGATATACAGACAAATAAATGGATTGGCATAAAAACTACAAAAAAGGCATAACTTATTCAACATGTAACATCAAGAAAACGACTAAATTGGCATATTTCTGAATTTGTATAGAGATCCATTTCAAATGCAAAGTTATGCTTCATTAGCTACGGAAAACAATTGGATAAAATGTGATCATCCTACTAGACCAGTACTAAGAGAAGTATTGTAATTATATGTAATCTAAATATATAAAATTACTTGTCTTGACTGACTGAATCACTGATTCATCATTGCCCAGAGCAAACCGCTGAACCTAGAGGTGAAATTTGGTACACAGTTAGGGTACGTCATGGAAACTCACACTAAAAAGGGATTTTTCAAAATTCTCCAGCAGGGGAAGGGAAAGGCTTAACCTGGAGAACAGCTTCTACTGTACTATTTTAGATGCGATTTTTTGTTTTTAACTGCATTTTAGTAGAATACGCGATGGGAATGCACACTAATAAGGGATTTTTCGAAATTTCCCTGCGATGGGGAGAGGGAGAGCATTAACCCTTTGCCCTCGAAAGAACTGATCGATCGTTACCCCCCATCATTAAGCAAACCTATGAAAGTAACGATTCACCGTTACCCTAGCAAAAATCAATTTTTATAAAATTTATCGACGACAGATGTCAGCACTTGATGGCATTGTCTTGTCTGTTTTTCACCAGGTGGTGTTTTGTTGACTTAAATAATTTTAATTAATGCTTTTTTTTCTTGATTTATTTATTTTCTGATGCTTTTTTATTTCATTTATAGCATATTCATGAAATAATATCATTATAATAAGTTCATTTATGCTTAATAAGTTTATTTAGCTATAATAAGTCAACGTGTTATAAATACTCAAGTTATGTTGTTCAGTTCTGACATTTTATTTTTTTTTAATGGCAAATTTTTTTTATAAATTTTTCTAATAAAATGTATTGAAAAGTATCGTATTTAAAACAAAAGATATTAATAAATGCTGGTAATTTTTTTATATAAATATAATGATCATTTGATTTTTGGTGAATTTTTAAAGTAATATTGCCTGATTGACCTATATTGCCTTAGGAGGGAACGCAAGATGGAGAATAAACATAAAACACAAGACGGCAAGATAAACAAGATGACAGAAAAAAAAGGGTTAAGGCTTAACCAGAAGAACAACTTCTACTGTACTATTTTAGATGCGATTTTTTGTTTTCAACAACGTTTAGTCTTCATTAAGTACTTAGGTGTATTAAATTGATAACATTTCTGACATTGTTATAAATATTTTTATATATTTTGATTTTTTAACCAAATGTTTGAACCGTTTTAAATTTGATTTTGTTATTGCATATTTATTCAATTATAGAATGATTGTAAACGTTCCAGAAAATTGATCAAATTGAAAACAGTTCATTTGATTCTCGGCAATTCTTGTCATTCTCAGCGGTAGGTGTTATATAACAATTACTATGGTTGTTGAAATACTGAATATAAATGGGATTTGCTTGTAAAACCTCCGTGGATGAAGTTGCAGGTAACAGCTAGTGTTGTTATATTTTTATCATTTTACAAGTGTTAAGAATTAAAGAATCTATGTATGATGCAGTATTAATAAATATTTATATTACTCATACTTTATTTACTAAAAAATTAAAATTATTTGAATGATTGTTTCCATTGAGGAAAAAAAAAGCTTGTGAAATAGACAAATTTTTATTTCTACTTTTGGATTGAGCACCATTTGACTGCAATGCAGCACAACATGTGAAAAGATAACCCACAAGTACATTATTTTCTGATAATGCTTTAAATAAGCATTTATTTAATTAATTTTTTTTACTAGTACTTTTATGGCTTTTTTGTAGAAAGGTAATATTTATTCAGGTAAAATGAAGAAAAGTTAATTTCACATGAATATAAGATTTTTTAATTGTAATTAATTTGTGATAACCTATTTTAACCTTTTAATGTAACTTTTATGTATATTTTACTTTGTTATGTTTCTAAAAACATCAACTAAAGAGAGACTCCAAAAGAGTCCAAAATGCATTTTGTATATGTTTTAGATTCAATCATTGTAAAATTTCTTTATTCTTTTGTAAACTTAGTTATAAAATAAATAAATTTTTTGTAATATCATATTCACTGATGTGAGAAGATCTAAAATTTAAGTAGCTGGTTAGGTTATCACAAAAACTTAATGTAACTAAAGGGCAAAAAGCAATGAACAATATGCTTCTATTCATATTGCTTAAAGACAACCATTACATAAAAAAATAATGTAATAAATATAACCAAGAGAATTTAACTAAAAAATTTAAGACTGAAAAAAAAAAAATCAAAAAAGTACATTTCTATAAACTTCAAAATATAAAAGAAACATCTAAATATTTAACTTACCATTTGGATGAAACATTTTAGATACAAATCTCACTGTTGGTGGTTTATTTGGATATTCTTCCGTAAACTCGAGTGTAAGTTTAAAAGTTCCATCCTCAAAAGGGGTATCATGAGGCCTAAGTTGGTAAATTAAAATAATGTTAATTGAATGGATATATATATATATATATATAAATTTGCTTTTTTTTATCAGTTACAATTTATTATAATAATCTATTTATAAAATTCAAAAATTTTTAACAAATTATTTGAATACAGGTTGTCCTTGATTTTAAGATGAACATGTTCCTAAAAATGCATATGAAAATTGGATGCTCAAAAGTTGAGGAATAAAGTTACATGTTGTAAAGGTGATTCTGTTCCTTTACAGCTTATGAGATTTTATAGTTTTTCTCCTATTAAGGCAGGAAAGGTTTAATTTTTATAATGAATAAAGTATAAAACATTATTTTAAAATGTTATCATCACAAAAGAAACAAAAAAAAACTAATCTCCACAAATGATTTTTGTTACTGAAAATCATATTGCTAGAAAACATCAATAAATATTTCAGTTTCTTCTATAATGAATGCTTTTGTTTGGTTTTAGAAATTTTATAATAATACAAAATCAAAATAAAGCAATGAAATAAAAACTTCATACTAAATTTAATCATTAATAAAAAAAAAAAAATGAAAAACTTTAAATACTGATCATAATTCCAAGTTTAAAGACATTTGTTATAAATACGTAAGAAACAATACATTTAATGAGAGAATTTTCAGTCAAGAGTTTTATTTTAACTGAAATTCAGTCTTACAGACTAAAGTTCCTTATGCTGTTACCCAATAATCCGGAAATCTGGTGCCCTCTCAAAAGAAGCCAATAATCCAGAATCATCGAATAATAATCCGACATGCTAGAATTTCACAAATCAGAAGGTACTGGAACACCTGGTGTGCTAAACATTAATCATTGTGAATGTTCATTTTGTGCAATAACACAATCATTAACGTTTTTGCAGGTTTTTCAATTAATCTTAATACAGTATAGTCATGAAATGTTTCATCTTCAGACAGATTGAACAACAGAATAAAACTAGAAGCATATACTAGCACGCACTAACACAAAATGTACAGTACAGCAATATCTGCAACATTTGTATTGCTTATAACTTATCAAATTTTCTGAAAATATAAGATGTATAATGTAGCATTTTTGATAATATGACACCACTTTGGTTCTGCAGGTGCTAGATTAATAAATTTCTATTCTATGTAATTAGAATTATTATTCTTGCATATAATTATAAATTAATTTCAATCTTTACAAGAAGAAAATCAGATTAAATGTTTATTAGACAGCAACAGACTATAGTTCCATCATAAGCAACCTCTGGCCATTGGACCACATCTGGCCCACAAGGTTCTAATATGCAGCAACCTGGACTTTGGCAACAATTTTATTCTCCTATTTCGGACTCGTGCCATTATGTAACCCTAATTAAGCTGATATTCTTCACAAAGAACATTCAAACTAAACTTGATCAGTGAAAAGATGAGAATAGACAATGATAAACAAACTAGTGATATATAAACACATTATCTTAGTACCTGGTGTAGTGGTGGTTATGTATGCTGGTATTCAGCAGACAAACCCTGCAACTCTAAAAGAAAAAAAATATATGTGGCATGCCAAAATATTAAGAAATTCTCCTGCAGCCCAAAGCCAGAAAAGGTTGCTTATCACTGCTATATTTAATATAAGAATCCAGACAAAAATCTTATTACTTACTATTAAATCTCATTATAAACCTAAATCAAATTTCAACAAGAACAATAACAGGGAGATGATATCAAAAATTCAGATAATTTGAATTACAGCTTTTAGCTCTTGGTGGTTCTGGGAAGTTTGTCGATAAGATTTGAATCTGAGACTCAAAAGAATAGATAATTGAAAATCAAGGAAACAATTGATTACTGTCATTTGCATGTGTGTACACATGCAAATGACAGTAAGTTTGTATACTTAATAAATCATTGTGGACTTGAATAACAGGAAATATTTGAAATAAATAAAATCATTGAAATTAATCCAGAATCCTCTCCATCAATTTTAATTATCATTTCATTATAATATTATTGATAAGCATTCTCATATTTAGAATATGTATGTACATATTGTTTTTTATTGTATATGTTTTAATTTTATCGATTTTAATAAACGAAGTTTCAGAATAAATTGTAAATGAATGTATTATCTTTTGTTCAATTGAATTTACCCTTCCAAATAGATATATTTTTAGTACACATTTCATGACAGTATCCGCAATAATTCTCAAATAAAATGAATATTTTATGACTGTATTTACATAAAATTTTTCTAATATTATAAAATTAGACAATAAAATTTTATGAATCATTAAATGATAATTTAGATATTTCATTTAAAGCAACACCGCAATAGCTTTTTGTAAAATAAAAAATTGGTATTACCTTATCAAAAATTCAGTTATAATTTTTTTCTGTTAAGGTATCAAAAATATATATATCAATCAAATTCTCAGATAGTAACACATCTTTATATTAAATAAACATGTCAGAAAAATAAACTAATAATAACGAGTGATTATTAATCATATTTTTTTAATTTATTTAATTTAAAATATATGATTTCCACCTTCAAATTAGCAGTGTCTTACCCCCCAGTACATAATACTTTTCCTTTAGCAATCAAGTCATACCTGTCATCTATCTAACTCCTTTCAGAAGGAATTTTTGAACTGAAATAACATGACTTCTGGTTTGCATCAAATGTTCGCATATAGTTAATCGGGACTTCCTCCCCTAAGGTTTCCATATCTGTCTCATCTTTTGTCTATCTAACTTCATTCTCGAGATTAAGGAGAGACAGACAGATGGATGAACAGACAACAGTGGGAATTTATAGGTCTACAATTTTTTCAAATTGCAGCCCAATAATCTACAATATAAAGCTTGATTTCTTTTACATTAACATAAAATAGTATTTTATATTATTTAGTAAAAAACATGAAAAAATAAGATACCAAATAAATTTCTAAAACTATATTATGACATGCATAGTAAAATTGCATTAATGCACACATCATCTAATTCAGAGTTATCCAGTATTTTACGAAGTGAGATTTATATTTTATGAGCTTCCTTAATGCTAAATGCACTTCAGAATTTTCTTCACAAGAGTTTGAGTAATAATTCCTTAATTTTATGCAAAAAATGTCTTAATCACTTTTTCATTCTTTAAACAATTTAAATAATAATCAATTTGAAATATTCAAGCAACCTCTCAAGAAGCTGTGTGTGTAAAGAAAAGATTAAAAACAATTTAACAAATATGAAAATTTTTCAACAAAAAACATCAAATATTCTGTTTGTCATTATTAATGTAAGTAAGATTTTGATATAATTTCAATATTAATCTTGCAAATACTATTAAATTCTTTTGGGTGATCTCATGTAGATTCCCTAGATCTACAGAGCAGCACTTTCAAGCACTGGCATGTTTAATCCTTTTTATTATATAACATTTTTAGTTTCTAGTTCAAAATTAATTTATGCAGTTTATTCAACAAAAATGCAAAACTCTTTTCTAATGTAAAGTAATATTATTTCAAATATTCACTGAATAGACTAGTAACAACTGGGCTAGTAAGTTACAGTGGAATCACAGCTCAAAAGAATGTAATAGCATGCAGAATGGGAGTCACCTTGTGGCAACGTTTTTCCTCAAAAGATAGTTCAGCTTAAGCATATTTTCTCATGCATATTTTTGTTTTCATTCTTATACAAAACAAGTCTATCATTTTACCAATAGTTTTCTGTTGTTTTTATCATCATCCAGGCATCAATTTTATTTTTAGATTGATTTTGTTTGTCATATGACCATTGCAGACTGTTGAACGTTCATTGTCTTCTATTAAATTTCAAGTATACTAATCATACGTGTAATAATAAACTCTGTTATTTCAATTATCTTAGCTATCTATAAGTTGATAGATTAGTAACTCCATTCTGTGATCTGCAAACCAGCATGTCATAAATTTAATTGATTATTTACATCTACTTATATCTTACATTACTTTAGGTCAGATCACCTGAGAGAATGTTGTATCTTCATTTAATTCTCATATTCAAGATAATGATTTCAAAAATAATTTCCATTTCACTATAATAAAAATCAACATACTATAATTTCCTTTCAATCTATAATAGTATAATATTAAGTATTTAAATACTGGACCAACATTCTGTCATAAAATTAGTTATAAATCATTTTAGATGAATATATTTAGCTCCAAGTTTTTTAAACCAATATCACAATCTTTTGCCAAAATTTTATAAATATCATTCAATAATCTAATAATGGTAGCAATTGGATGTTTACTAATCTAAGCTCATTTTACTTTACTTTTTAACTGTAATATCTTAAAAACTTTTACTAGTCAAAATTGTTTTTGTTTTGATATTGCAACTGAATTCTCTTATAATTTATAGGGTCGTCAACCTATGGCCTGTGAAGAGTATTTATCTGGCCCATTTAGCGTGTGTGAAAAGAAGCAAGTGGACATGTTTTATTAATCAATATTTGAACTAGTTCATAGTCTATAAAAAGTCAACCAGACCTTGCTGTTAATGATTTTTATAAAAACCTATTTAAAGAAGATTATTTTTTTTTACAAATCTCTGCCAGAAGAGAATTCTAAGTCTTAAAAAGTTTGCACGAAAACATTTTCTATTTTTGCTTCTATGTAACTTTGCAAACAACTTTTTTCAAAACTGAAATATAGTAAACCTCCACTAACTCGGACTAACAGGGATTAAGATTGTCCGAGTTAGTGGGATGTTTTCTCTGACAACATGGCAGAGAGCAAGAACTTGGATATGTTATAGCAATTTATTACAATCAGCTTTAGACACAAGTATTACCGAGTGGTTAGTAGATTATACTGTTAAATTTGTTATTACAGGAAATGAGCTCAAAAAATTTCATGACAGTAGCCTTTAGTAACTTATCAACTGCAATAATATAATGTGCAGTATTGAAAATGCTTATTAATTATAATTTTCTTATTGTCAAAAACTTTTAAATTACTGTA